ATTTGGCAATTTGGAATACGTAGTTGTAAAAAAATTAAAATATAGCGCATCGTTCATGCTTAGCAATTGCAATAATTCGTTTTCTTTCAAGTTGTTGGTATCGAGCACGTTATTCTCGATAATAATATGGTACTTTTATTAGATCATTTACTTAAAATTGTATCAAAAAAACTTATGGACCAATTCCGACGTAAAATAACGATGTTATGCTGTCATGTTCATAATAAAAGTTACTAAAAACTATCAAAATGCTATGTTTTTGCTGTGCAAGTCAAGAATTTGATATAAAACCTAGAAACCGCAAAAGGTTGTTATCGAAACTGCATTTTCTGATGTGTCATCAACATGGCGAGAATTTTTTATGTGTAAAACGGCTGGTCGACAGCAATTCAAATTTTCAATTTGACAGTTTTAGTACAATTTTATATGAAAATGGAGCGCAACATAGCGTTGCCATAACTTTACCCTATTTTACTTATCTTTGCAAAGAATTAAATATCTGGCAATGATCTATATTATGTTACAATACAAAGAGTTCATCATTCCCATGATTCTTTATGAATCAAAACATTATGAATGAGAAAATTATCGTATACCAAATTCCAATGTTATAATAGCTTCATCTCTACTCATCTACCATGAAAATTCAAACTTTTATTTTTAATTCACACGAAATAACAAAAACTATGAAAAACTAACAATTTTGCTGAAATTTTAAGGTGATTGTAAAGAAAAAAATGAACAGAGATTCTATACAATGTGCAAAACCGAATAAAAACAAATAGACCAAAAAATATAAGATCTAGTGGTGTAAGGCATCATGCCTTAAGACAAATAGCTGGAACTTATTGTACAGTAATATAATATTCAAAGAGTATTGAATATTATATATAGATTATTACAAGCAAGAATTAGAAATGAAATCCAAAATATTTTCGATAATGAAAAATCACAACCAATATTTTTGTCAAAACAAGCATTTTTGAATAATTCCAAATCGAATGTTTGTTTTCTCCTCCCAGAAACTGACATTTTTTGCATATTTAACTCTGTATCTACAAAACGGCTGAACTTGCCTTCGCCAAAAACTTATCACCACTTCTCCCCATCATTACAAATTGAATGTTTTTTGAATCATTCAAATCGAATGCTCCGATTTCTCAAAAATCTAATTTCCATTTTCTGTACTCTATGCTTCATATCTCCGAAACGGCTGGACAGACTTTTGCCAAAAACTATTTAGCACGTCTCCTTATCGATGGTAAACGATTGCTTTTTAAATATTTTAAATCAGTTGATCCGTGTTCCCAAAAACGTGGACGAAAATTGTATCCATACATACGCGCGCACTCACACACTCACACACGCACACACATACCTACATCAATTTTTTCTAAGGTATGCCAAAATGTTCAGAAACCTTCAAAACGTGAAGATATGCAAAAATTTTCAATTTCGATTTTTGGACGATTACATAACATACTCCACAGGAGTTATTAATATGACATATATGTAAAGAGGATAAAAAAAGTCAAATTAAATAATTATTTTAATTATTACGGATACAGGATTAAATTTAATATTACAGAAAATAAATTATCTTTATTATAAATGAATAACAAAATTTTACTAAAATCCCGCAACTCTAATTTAAAAAAATGTTTCATATAAAAACTTCGATAATCATATTTCAGATATTACCATCACCACCCGCCCCCTCGACCTAGACTAGCATTACTAAATTGCTTTTCCGGTTTTGACTTAAAATATGGTGAACTTAATAGTTTATCTTTTTAATTTATAAAAGTTTTCGAAAACAGAGTAAATAAAAAAAAAATCAACATATATTCTAATACATAACATTTTGCACTTTTGCTACCCATATTGTTTATTATCGGCTTATAAATTATAAAATAAATCGCATTATGAATTAATAATATAAATCGTTATCATGTTTCTAATAAAAAATAACGGCATCACGGGTTGGAACTACACTCCGGAGAGTCCCTAGGCACCAATTTGTGCTTGTGTCCGGTTCGTCATACGTGAATTCCATTGATTATTCACGGCCTGTCGGAGAGCCGCCAGCCAGGTTTGCAATAACGCACCGCAGGCGCGCGCCCCGCAAGGTTACGCGGTTAATGCGGTTAGGAGGAATCGTGGCGGTCGACGGTCGTTACGTCGGACGTGTATGACACGAGGGACAAATATCGATACCGAAACGGGTTTATTAATTAATTATTTGAAAATCGATTGTAATGAACTTACTAAAACTAGTGGTGCATGGCATCGTGCGTTAAGGCAAATTGCAAAAAATTAACTAGCTGTAAGTGGAATTCTGTCTTAAGGCAATTAGGGCTTCGTGCCTTAAGGCAAATTGCTGGAACTTCCCGTACCGCAATTCAAAATTCGAGTAATTAAAAATAATCAATAATAATAATCAATAAAAGTTGATCAATGATTTGAAACTTTTAATAGAATTTCGAACCAGATTAAATCATTCTATTTTAAATAATTTATTTTGTAATATTTTCGAAATTCTGAACTTTTTTTCAAGGCAATCGTACTGCTTTAACCGCATAAAGACGAAATATCAAAACGCCTAAGCGCCGCGTCGCCGTCTAACGCGTAAACATTAGTACGGAACCCATAGGAATGTAAAAAAAATTTATACTTATTGTTAAAATCTCTATAAAATATCTGATAATTTGATGTGCATATGTCTAATGTTCATTTTTGACCGCCAAATGGCTTTTTGTTTTACTTTTTTCATTAGATCTCCGAAACCGCTAGACCTACCTTTATAAAAATTTGATCAATTCTTCATTTAGTCGATACAAATAAAATGTTTTTTGAATTATTCAAATCGGACGCATCGTTCTCTTAAAAACTGAGTTACCGTTTTCGGCATTTTTTGCCCCGTATCTTCGGAACGGCTAGACCTGCCTTTCCTAAAAACTAAGCAGCATGTCTCCTTATCAATACGAATCGAATGTTTTTTGAATTATTCAAATTGGTTGATCCGTGTTCCCGAAATCGTCGACGAAATTTTGTATCCGAACATACATACATACACACACACACGCACACATCCATTTTTTCTAAGATATGCCAAAATGTTCAGAAGGTTTTCAAACGTAAAGATCTATAAAAATTTTCATTTTCGATTTTTTTGCGATTACTATAACTTGCCCTACGGGAAGTTAATAATCAATAAATATTGATCAATGATTAATAATATTATTTTGAATATTTTTAAAGAGATAATTATATTTACTATATATTTTATCGGTCAGATAATATCTAGTGACGATCTCATTGCTCAAAACTCTTAAAAATGTTTACATTAAGAAGTGACGCCGAATGAATCCATCTGAGGATATATTTCTTACGAGTAGAATAAAAACGCATATAAAATATATACATTTGTAAGCCAAATTGAAAATTTAAAATTTATATTTGAAGTTTAAAAATTCTGATTATTTTTATAAATTTTGAAAAAAGATTTTTCTGAAAATTTTGAAATTGGTTTGAACCGTATAAGTAAACTTCGAAAACCAAGTTTCTTGGTACGAACCCTAGAAAATCGGAACAAAAATTAGTACTCATGTCTGAAATCTATAAATTATCTGATAATTTGATATGTCTAATGATTATTTTAGATCGCCAAATATCTGTTTTTTACATTTTCCCCCGTATCTCCGAAACCGCTAGACCATCCTTCCAAAAAATTTCATCAATTCAAATCGTAGACAAAAATTGTATTCAAACACACACACACACAACACACTTAATTCTATTTTTTAAGGTATGCCAATATGTTCAAAACTTTTGAAACGTAAAGATATTAAAAAAAAAATTTTTTTGCGATTACTATAACTTACCCTACGGGAAGTTAAGTAGTTGAAAGTGGCATTTTGCTTTAAGGCAAGTTGCAAAAAATTCCTGATAGGTGTAATAATTGTCTTAATCAATCGAAATTGGTATCTAGATAAGATAAATAAATTTTCAATTGTCAATTTCAAAAATCAAGTTTTTGCTTTCAATTGCGGTTCTCAATTGATATCTTTCAAACATATTTATAATATCTGTAATTATATTATTTATATTGCACACGCGCGTGCTTGTATGTCCTGAAATTATAACATGATTTTAAGTGTTTTCTTCAAACATTATTCAATATTTACTTATATATTTTCAGCAATGAGGTTCTTAGCGAGCCTGTTGATTTGCAGCTGGGCTGTGTTGGTTACACCGGCTCCGGAATATCTGCGTAGTTACCAAAGATCATATACTTCATCTACTTCAAATGGTCCACCAAAGTACAAAACTATGGTTTCTCAAATGCAAGGAGCGTTAAAGAAATCTTTAGCCCAGCAGTGTGGTTCTCGAACTAGTTGTCGCACTTATTACTCAAGTTCTCATGAAGGAAGCAGCAGTAATACAAATACAGATAGTACAACCAATTATAATGATCAATTGATGGCGAGTTTAAGACAAAAGGTAGAGTCACAGAGTAGCTATTCCTCATCTACTCCAGATGTTCCAACAGAGTACATAAATATGGATCCTCAAGTGCAAGAAGCAATAAAGAAGTCTTTAGCGCAGCAGAGCGGTTATAGAACTAGTTATAGCCGCACTTATTCCTCAAGTTCTCACGAAGAAAGCAGCAGTAATACAAATACAGATAGTGTAAACAATTATAATGATCAATTGATGGCTAGTTTAAGACAAAAGTTAGAGTCCACAGGGTAATACCGCTACTAGTTCATCTAGATATACTACAAGCCAAAGTAGCCCAGGTTATACAAGGACGACGTATTCATACGTCAAACCACAAACATATGTTACTGGGACTGATCATCAAGTTAATACCCACAATTTGGAACACGATAGAGAGCAAGATAAAAATAGCGACGAACAACGTTTAGTACCAGGTGGGTATTCTCGGACAACAAGTTTTTCTCGTACTGGATCTTCAAGCCATAGTTCAAGTCAAAACAGACCAGGATACGTAAGGAGAACTTACACTTCATCTAGTTCTTTTGGAGAACCTAATTCACAATTTATCAATAGCGAAAATAAAAGGACTGAGAGCACTCCTCATGTGCATGATGACAAATGTGAACATGATGTAGAACAAGAAAATAATGCGCAGGACACCGACAACTTAAACCAACATGGAACATCAGGATATCGTCGCACAACCTATTCTAGTTCTAGTTCAACAAGCTATAATTCAAGCAGAAATAGACCACAATATACAGTAACAAGTTATCATTCTACATCGAATTTAAATTCAAATCGCGATTCACAAGTAGGCGTTACTGAAAATCAGGAAAACAATGAAAATCATGAGCATCGCCTTGAAGATAACAGTGATGAAGATGATGATGGACAACGTATTGTAAATGCAGGACAATATTCAAAAACTACCAATTCCTCGAGAACAGTAAGCCATTCTAGTTCTAGTTCAACAAACTATAATTCAAGCAGGAATAGACCACAATATACAGTAACAAGTTATTATTCTACATCAAATTTAAATTCAAATCGCGATTCACAAGTAGGCCTTACTGAAAATCAGGAAAACAATGAAAATCATGAGGATCGCCTTGAAGATAACAATGATGAAGATGATGATGCACAACGTATTGTGAATGCAGGACAATATTCAAAAACTGCCAATTCCTCGCAAACAGTAAGCCATTCTAGTTCTAGTTCAACAAGCTATAATTCAAGCAGGAATAGACCACAATATACAGTAACAAGTTATCATTCTACGTCGAATTTAAATTCAAATCGCGATTCACAAGTAGGCCTTACTGAAAATCAGGAAAACAATGAAAATCATGAACATCGCCTTGAAGATAACAATGATGAAGATGATGATGCACAACGTGTTGTGAATGCAGGACAATATTCAAAAACTGCCAAGTCCTCACAAACAGTAAGCCATTCTAGTTCTAGTTCATCAGGTTTTAGTTCAACGCACAGTAGACCAGGATATACAAGAACAACTTATCACTCTACTAGCTCATATGGAACACCGCACTCAAGTGTTATAAATAAAAGTGGCAATAAAGACAATGATGGTAATCTTCACATTCATAGTGAAAACTGTGAACATGACATAGAAAAAAATAATGATGATACTAATAATAATCCAAATTCTCAAAACGCGAACCAACAAGGAACATCTGGTTATAGTCGCACAGTGAGTTATTCTGGTTCTAGTTCAGCCAGCCACAATACAAACCGTAACATAGAACAATATTCTGGGACAAGATACAACTCTGTAACTGATTCAAGCACAAGTTCCTATTCCGATGTGGGTAGTGCTTTAAATAAACAAGAAAATAATAGCGCTGATCATATTCATAGCGATAAATGTGAACATGATATAGAAAAAAACAGTGTTGATGATGACGAGCAAAGCATTGTAAACAAAGGGCAACGTACGCAGACTTCAGGTTTCACTCGTACGACAAGTTACTCTGATTCTGACTTATCAAGCACTGGTTCAAATCATTATAGACCCGGATATACAAGAACCACTTATCATTCGTCTAGTTCATATGGAACGCAGAATTCCAATAATGGCGATGGCCAAGATAATGCAGGTAAACTTCATGTTCATAGTGAAAACTGTGAACATGACAAGGAAAACAGTAGTGATTTAAATGGAAGTGAGAATCATGCGCAAAATGTTGGAAGGCATAGAATTACGAGTTACTCTCATACGGTCAGTTCGAATTCTAGGACAACTGGTTTTAACTCGAGCCAAAATCGCCAAGGGTATGCTGAAACAACTTATAATTCAATGACACATGGACAACCATATACGATTACAAACAATAATCAGAGCAATGAAGATAGTGATGAAGGTAATAAACAGCAGCACACAAAACGCAGGACAGCATTCACAATCAGCAGGGCATGCTCAAACAATAAGCTATTATCGTGCTGGATCTTTTATTCGAAATTCAAGTCAATCCGAACTAGGATATTCAGAAAGTACTAGTTCAATAGATACCAATAACAGTCAGCAAAACAATAGTGTACATGGTGGCAGTTTTGAACATGGTAAGAATACTGTAGAACAGACAACTGAAAATTTACAACAAAATTCACATACTAGAGGCAATTATGGAACAACAAGTCAATCTCATTCTACTTCATCACGCTATACTTCAAACCAAATAGACCGGGTTACACAATAACAAGTTATCACTCCACTAGCTCTTATGCAAAACCAAGTACACAAATCACTGAAAATAATCAAGATACTACTGATCATATACATGACGAAAATGTGAACATGGCAACAATGAAGATTATGAAAATCATCAAGAGCAGGACATTGGACAACAATCAATATCAACAGGGCATTCTCACACCGGTTTAACAAGATACACTTCAAGTCATACTAGTTCAGAACATAGGACCGCAAGTAATTATGCACGAAATACAACTGAGAAAAATATCAATAAAGAAGGAAGTGATGAGAATTCTAGCGAAGAAGACGAATATGACAGTGCCGGTAATAGTAATGATAAAAGAAATAAGCCTGGTGGTAAGGGCTGGAAAAAATATTATTGGGAGAAAGATTTTATTCCACCAGGACATCGTAATAAACCGCATCCTCGCGCGGCCATGCTTACGGGCATAGAAATAGAGGCCAAACTACATCTTATTCTAGATATAATTCCAATTATGGTGAACACCGTGGGCCAAATCGATATAATGTTACAACAACAACGTATTCATCAAGTCGTCCAGGCTACGTACCATCACGTTATTCCACATCTGGATCAAATACAATGATGGCGGTAGAACCACGTACACCTACTCCTCAGGTGGAGTAAGGTATAGTACTAGTAATAGAAATTCAAGTACAACGGCAACTGACGCTTCACAGAATGTTTATGAAGACAAAGACACACAATTTGCACCAGAAGTTGATGGTACAGGGTTTGAACACGGTAGTTATGACACTAATACTGGAACCAGTGCAATTGATTCTGATTCTAGACACAGTTCTAATAGAAGTACCTCTGAATACACACAGCAAAACTCTCATAGCAATAATAATGTATCTACACATTCAGGATCTACAGGCTACGTGCCATCACGTTATTCCACGTCTGGATCAGATACAATGATGGCGGTAGAACTACGTACACGTACTCCTCAGGTGGAGTAAGGTATAGTACCAGTAATAGAAATTCAAGTACAACGGCATATGACGCTTCACAGAATGTTTATGAAGGCGAAGACACACAATTTGCACAAGAACTTGATGGTACAGGGTTTGAACACGGCAGTTATGACACTAATACTGGAACTAGTGCAATTGATTCTGATTCTAGACACAGTTCAAATAGAAGTACCTTTGTATCTACACATTCAGGATCTACAAGTACTACTCAAATGATCAATACGAATATTGTGATAGTGTTAATGGTTCAGTAGTCTCCCAAGAAACTCAAAAACAAAATATAGAAAATGCAAATCTGAACACATTTCTGCAGGTGCGAATAGTGAGGAGAAAAAACATCGTTCAAATGTTTCTATGCACAGTGGGTCAAAAACAACCAATTCGTCATACACACTTGTAAGCCAGTATTCACAGAGCAGTCATGAAAGTAATAGTGCAAAACACAAAGTAATAACAGACTCATCATCAGACGAAGATAGTTATGAAATACTTGACCAACGCACAGAAAAGTATGAAGCAACAACTAACAGCGGCGATACATTTTTTGAAAATCAAAACATAGTTTCAAATAATTATGCTTCTACATCAAAAATCGTAGAAGAGTGAGTGAGCATTCACAACAACAAAAAAATGTCGTCGACAAAACGAAAGGTAATGATTTGCACTATATTACTAATTATAATCAACAAATCATCAATCAATATAATAATGACGACTTGCATAAATTTAAAAATACAAGTAAGAGAGCTCATATTTCCTCAATAAATAGTACATCAGAGGAAAGTAAGCAATTTGTCATAAGTCATTTTACAAATAAATCTGCCGAACATAAGTCTGATAATTATGCATCTGCAAACAATCAGCAGTTCAATTTGCAGCAAAACAAAGAAAATATTAATATTAATAAAAGTGCAACAAACTTGATCGAAAGTACAACTTTCACCAAATATAATTTTAGTAGTAGTGAAGAAAGGAATGAACAATTACAATCAGGCTCATTACAAATTTCGCAACAAGTTTTGGATTCTTTACTTGGTTCTTCTCAAAATCCAGATCAACAACCAGATTCTACAACTAATATAAATTCAGGCACAAATAATTATGTCACATCTAAACCAGTTCGTTACCAGTATCGACCTACTAACTTCAAAGGTGATGCTCTTTCAAGCCATGATTTCCTCGAAAATGAAAAACATAAATCAAATTCTGAAATAAAGAATGCATCTGTAGATAGAAATCATCATCAGCAACAATCTGGTAGTCATGGACGTAATTCGAGTGATATACGATCAACATCTTCCATAAGTTATTCATCTCAAAATATAAGTGGTCAATATCATGTAATAAATATGAATTCTGGAAAAAATTATTAATCTTCTAGTAATATGGCTTTGAATTCTGAGTCAACCGAAGCTGATACTCAACAAAAAGTTATGAATCAATTCTACTCTCATGATAATAGTTCAAGTAATAACCAACCATATCAAATCAACAAAATAAACATCAAAGTACTTTGATAAATGGAACCAATCAAAATATCGCAATAAACAAAACCGTTACTTCTGGTTCCACGAGCTACACTTTTAGTAGCAGCGAAGAAAGCAAAACAACTGCATCACAATCAGTTTCATCTGAGTTCACACATACAAGCAATAAAAAACATAATTATGATACTAATGGAAATCAGCATTTTACACAAACTTCACCTGGTGTTATAATAACTCCTAAACCAATTCCATTGCGCTATCAGTATCAAACTTCTACAACTGAAGGCTACTCAAACGAAGATGATGACCTGCAAAAACAGATGTCGGGGTATATATTTGAAGATAAATCTCATACAAGAGATTCTCAAAGGACTCATTCTAGTTCATCCGTTAGTTCTAGTGAACAAAATATAAGACAACACACATCAGAATATCAATATAATCGCGAGCAACAAAATACTCAGACTAAAAATTTGGAACAAAATGTTTATTTCAAAACAACGACTCCTACAACTTTAGAAACTTCTGAGCCATTTGCAAAACCAAGTTCTTTAGTGAACGAGCACAGGGTTGAATCTGGAAGTTATGAGGATTCTGTTTCACAAGTCGATACAGATGAATTATATGGTCAGTCAACATATAAAAATTCTATATCAACTTCATCTACGACGAGTCATCCATTTGATAATGATCAAGGTGTATCACAAGGTAGCTCAGCAACGTCACATCAAGAAAGTAATGGTGCGTTTTCATCAACCTATCAGTCGTTCAACGGTACAAATATCAATAGAGAAAATTATAATACAATGCACCAAAATCAAACAGTAAATACTTTGCACAAATCTACAAATTCATCCAGAAGTTACACGCAAAGTAGTGAAGTAGATTCAATTAATTCCAATGCAGTTGATGAAGTAAAAAAGGCAAATCAAATGTCCCACGTTGTAAACACGAATGCCAATAAATTTAATGAAAGTCAAAGTGCAAACAAAACAGTTACTACAACATTTACTACGTATGTAATTAGTAGTGATGAAGAAAGAAGAAAGCATGACATGGAATCATCTAAAATTTATTTCTTTGAAGACAACGATATCAAACATTATTATTCTACTACACCAAAATACCAGCATTATGGACATGCATCTAACAATTATGATAAACAAACACATCATTCATATTCTGGCACTACAAATCAAGGAAGCTCTACACCTAAACCAATGAGATATCAACAACAATCAGTGAGTTCAGAAAATCATTCTACTGAAGATGAGCAAAAGCACTTACAAGGACAAACAATTTCAACAAATTCTCAATATCAAACTAAGGAAAACTTGAAGATTACGGATCATACAACAAATTCTCATGGCACAAATGCTAATGTAATACACGAATCCGATGAAAATCACTCAATTATAGATGCTTCGAATGATTTAAATGAAGTAAACCAAGTCAAAAACGTTCATAATATTACTTTTAATCACAGTCAAGCAACTAATAAAACAGTTACAACAAGCTACACTACACATACATTCAGTAGTAGTGAGAAAAGAAAACAATACGAGTCTCAATCTAGATCAACAATATATAATTCGAACGTTAATTCTGACAATAACAGAAATACTGGATCTCAACAGCAAACTACAATTCAGCATATAAATGATCCTTATACCAAACCTAAGCCAATTCGTTACCAGCAACAGCCTCAGACTTTGGAAGGTGACTCTTCTGAAGAAGACGACCAACTAGTACAAATGCCAGAAAGTGTTTTAGAAAGTGAAGAAAATAAACATATTTCAGGAACAACATATGTCAAAACCAATAATCAGGATTCAAATAAAGTAAACCAAATTGGAAACGTTCATAATACTGTTTTTAATCACAGCCAAGCAACTAATAAAACAGTTACTACTGGCTATACTACACATACATTCAGTAGTAGTGAAGAAAGAAGAAGATACGAGTCTCAATCAGGATCAAAAATTTATAATTCGAACGTTAATACTGACAATAACACAAATACCGAATCTCAACAGCAAACAACAATTCAGGATACAAATAATCCTCATACCAAACCTAAGCCAATCCGTTACCAGCAACAGCCTCAGACTTTGGAAGGTGACTCTTCTGAAGAAGACGATCAACAAGTACAAATGCCAGAAAGTGTTTTCGAAAGTGGGTCACAAATGAAAACTACCGTTGTAAATAATACCGGATCATTCCATGGTGAAGAAAAGAAATATGTATCAGGAGCAACATATGACAAAACCAATAATCAAAACACAAATCAACAAATATCTGGATCTATCACAAAAGCTAACATGAAACAAGAAGAGATTCATAACCAAGATAGCAGCACTGAAGACATATCAAATCAATCTCATAAACATCACTCAACTTTTGTTACATCAAAGGATTCAAATAAAGTGAACCAAATCGGAAGCGTTCATAATACTATTTTTAATCACAGTCAAGCAACTAATAAAACAGTTACTACTGGCTATACTACGCATACATTTAGTAGTAGCGAAGAAAGAAAAAGATACGAGTCTCAATCAGGATCAACAATTTATAATTCGAACGTTAATTCTGATAACAACAGAAATACTGGATCTCAACAGCAAGCTACAATTGAGCATATAAATGATCCTTATACCAAACCTAAACCAATTCGTTACCAGCAACAGCCTCAGACTTTGGAAGGTGACTCTTCTGAAGATGACGACCAACAAGTACAAATGCCAGAAAGTGTTCACGAAAGTGCGTCACAAATTATAACTACTATTGTAAATAATACCGGATCATCCCATAGTGAAGAAAATAAACATATTTCAGGAACAACATATGACAAAACTATTAATCAAAACACAAATCAACAAATATCTGGATCCAGCACAAAAGCTAACATAAACTACGAAGAGAATCATAACCAAGATAGCAGCACTGAAGGCATATCAAATCAATCACATAAACATAACTCAACTATAGTTACATCAAAGGATTCAAATAAAGTAAACCAAATCGGAAACGTTCATAACACTATTTTTAATCACAGCCAAGCAACTAATGAAACAGTTACTACTGGCTATACTACACATACATTCAGTAGTAGTGAAGAAATAAAAAGATACGAGTCTCAATCAGGATCAACAATTTATAATTCCAACGTTAATTCTGACAATAACAGAAATACTGAATCTCAACAGCAAACTACAATTCAGCATATGACTTATCCTAATTCCAAACCTATGCCAATTCGTTACCAGAAACAACCTCAAACTTTTGAAGGTGACTCTTCTGAAGATGACGACCAACAAGTACAAATGCCAGAAAATGTAATTGAAAGTGATTCACAAATAAAAACTACTGAAAATCACTCTGGATCATCTTTCGTCCAGGTAAATAACCAAAATACAAATCAACATTCAACAGGATCAGAAACAATTTACCAGCAAAAACAAAAAGAACATAGTCAACTTAAAAATCATACAAGTTACATTACTGGTTATACTGTACAAACAACAAAACATGATTCTGAAGAAGATGAATCTTCAGAAGAAAATACTCAGCAACAAGTACAGTACGTAGATTTTGATCAATTAGCAAATAATGTTAATAATAAAATTACATCAACAACTGACCGTACAAACGTGCACAGACATGAAGAAACTACTAAAACTGCTGCACAAAATAATATTGTAAATGAATTTGAATCTGGTCAAACATCTACAAGTAGTACTGGTCAATATTCTTCAATTCTAATAAACCAAAATACAAACGAGAATATAGATATCTTGAATCAACACACTCAGTCTTCGGAAGATGACAATCAACAACAAATTCAATACATAGATTTTGATGATTTGGCAAATTATGTAAATAACGAAATTAAATCTACAACTGATCATACATACATTAATAGTCTGGACGAAACTACAAAAACTTCTACGCAAACAAGTAGTACTGGACAATCTTCTTCTATTTTAATAAATCAAAATGCAAATGATAATATTGTTGCTAATTCCAATAATGCACATTCTCAAAGAATTAATCGAACTAGTACTGCAAGTTCTGTAAATTACATTAGTAGCAGTAAAGAAGAAACAAGACATAAATTTGAATCTTCTGAATTCCTATCACAAAGCTCAAGTGAAGAACGTCGAAAACATGTTCAAGGTGGATATCATCATTCTACGCAAAATTACCATACATCTACTAAAAAAGATGTAAGACCTAAACCAGTTCACTATCAAAACCGACCAACTACTTTTGAAACTTTCTCCACGGATGATCACAACCCACAAATGCAGGTGTCGGAAAGTTCAGAAAAACAAACTGCGCAAGTCAATATAATCAATCATCACAGTACAAATGAGAATTTGGTACATCAAATAAATCAACAATCGTCTGAAAATATCGAACACCAATATATTCACAATTCCAATGAAAATTCAAATCAATATCAATTAAAACCATTCACTACACCCAAAACTCCACAAACTTCAGACTTCAGCACCAGTGAAGAAAATGTGCAGCAAGTTGTTCAAAATGTAGATTTTGATTCTCAAAGTGCATATCACAAGGAAACTGGTGCAAATACTTTGGTCGACAATCAACATAACCAACAATATATAACAGAAGATATTGCAGATAATATACCTGATATTGTAGAAGTAAATACAGATGATTTAGAATATATTAGTGAGGAAAAAGAAGATCAGCAACAACACATTGAGAATAGTTTTGATAGTTTGAAACAAAATATTACAACAGATAAAACAGTATCGCATAGCGAGGACGATGATGAACAACAACACATTGTAAATGAATTTGATATTTTGAATCAAGATAAAATTACAGATAAGCATGAAACAGAGTCACATGTTATAAATAATAATAATTTAAACATAGGTCATCAAATAGTCGAAACACATTCTACTAATTCTGTTTCTAATTCTCATAATATTAATATTGATTCTACCAATGACTTACATGATGTAAATAATTTACATTCCAACAAGTCTAGAGAAAATCAATTAATAAGTGGAGCAGTTGAAACATCAGCACATTCTGTGTATAGTACAATAACAACTGGTTCAAATACATATTCTGGCTCTAATACAAATATTGACAAACAATTTATAGAAAATCAGCATAATACAAGTGACAATAGTGCTAATAACAAGTATCACAGCAATAGTCAAAATTTTGCATCTGGAAGTATGCATCATTCTAGTTCAACAATAAATATTGACGATAACCAGCATGGCGATAATACTGTCGGAAATACCCATGGCACAACGCATAATTCTAATATTGTGCGACAATTCAGTACAAATTATAGTCAAGTACAAGAAAGCAGTTCAAGCAGCGTTGAACATACAGTACATCAAACAAGCTCTAATTTCCATAATATTCATTCCGACAATAAATTCCAGACAAATAACCAACACGTGCAGGAAAACTACAATGATAATATTTCAAAGAAAAACAATGATCGAACGGTTACTGGAAGTAGCAATCAAGGTACCACATCTACTTTTGTTACAACGCACCACAAAGGTTCATCTGTTGATTCTAGCAATAATAAATTTGTTGTAAGCTCCTCCGAAAATGAGTATCAAGAATCAGAACATATTTCAGAGAACATGCAAACCACTTCTGAAAGTCCAAACACGAATGCAGTCAATCAAGGACAGAGCACAATATCCAGTTCTAATACTAAAGGTACTACATCAACATTTGTTACAACGCATCATTCCAGTTCTTCTGTAGATTCTGGAAATAATCAATATGTTAGCAGCTCCTCTGGAAAACAGTATCTGCAACCAGCACATATTTCGGGCAACTTGCAAACTTCTGAAAATCCAAATACAAATACAGACGATCAAAGGCATTACAGCACTATATCCGGTTCCAATACTAAAGGTACCACGTCAACATTTGTTACAACGCATCATTCCAGTTCATCTGTAAGTTCCGGTAATAATCAATATGATGGCAGCTCATCAGGAAGTCACTACCAGCAACCATCACATACTTCAGCCAATTTAAAAACCACTTCTGAAAACCCAAATGTGAATACAGTCGGTCAAGTGCATAATACCATTTCTGGATCACACATTGTGCATCAAACCATTACAAAGTTTGAAGAAGGACAAGAAAGAGGTTCACATAGTGCAGAGTATAAGGAGCACCGTATAAATTCAAACTCTTTTGCAAATACTGATGATGATTTCGAAACAGATAATCAGCATATATTAGTAGATCAGTCTACCGATAGAAATGTTGAAAATGATAATCATGGTCAGCCAGGGCATGAAATTAATATTCACAATACTGCATCAAGTTCGACCTTAGTAACCGGTAATAACCGCCATAAAAATAATAATTACCAGCATCCAACTCCTCTTGATCCTCATGCTGGATCACACATGAATATCGATAACAAAGAGCACGTTATTTCTAGTTCTTCTACCGTGCACGAAACTAGTATAAATTCTACTAATGTTCATGACATAAATCATGACGTAAACCAACGACCATTGCATCCGTCTGAAACCACGTATGCTACTGTAGAACATGGTTCAAATATTAATACCGATAGTACTACATATGATGCAAGTTCTGGTACATATGTGTATGATAATAACCAGCATAGATATCCCATCTATCCACAAACTTACAACAGGCCCGACACCAATATAGTGTCTGCTAACACAGGTCACAATAATCAACAACAAGTTGATAATCAACAACAGCAAGTCGATTACAATAATCAACATCCAGCACAGACTGTTGGAGAAATTCCTTCGAGTCCTCAATATCCAGGAATTACTACTGGAAATACTATGCATAGCTCAAGCTCTAGCGCTGGCACTACAGGTTACAATTATCAACATCAAGTTTACAATCATCAACAGGTACACAACCATCAACAACCAGCACAGACTGTTGGTAGAACTCCTACAAATCCTCAACATTCAGGTATCACTACTGGAAATGCTATGCACGGCACAAGTTCCAGCGCTGCTAATACAGGTTACAATTATCAACATCAAGTTTATAATCATCAACAAGTTCCCAGCCATCTACAACCAGCACAGACTGTTGTTGGTGGAACTCCTACAAATTCTCAACATTCAGGTATCACTACTGGAAATGCTATGCACGGCACAAGTTCCAGCGCTGCTAATACAGGTTACAATTATCAACAAATCTATAATCACCAACAAGTTAACAATAATCAATTACCAACATCTACGACCCAGCCTATTGGAGGAACTCCTACTATTCCTCAATATCCAGGTATCACTACTGGAAATACTATGCATAGTACAAGTTCCACAGGACATCAATACGGCGGATATCACAACGTATATCCCAATGCAGGTCAACCTAATTATCATCAAGTATCTGGTATAAATTCAGGTTCGGCTACATACCATACCAGTTCTAGTCATGGAACAACTCAAATTACTGGTTATAGTAATCAACATCAAACTCACAATCATCAACAAGCAGGATATCCCATAAGTCAACATGCTACTTCTAATTATGGTCAAGTTAACTCCGGTACTGTACCCATGCAGCATACAAGAGAGTACTACATGAGACAAAATCCGCAAACAACTAATTATCATGCTGGCCAAATGCATCACACACGCGAATATCACATGGGACCGACCCATCATACACGGGAATATCATATGGGACCTCAGCATACTCGAGAATATCACATGCGACCCCAACATACTCGTGAATATCATATGGGATCATCGTACGACGGAAGAGATCGGCATCGTACGGATCAGATGCACCATTCTAGAGAATATCATTCGAGACCCTATTATCGCGGTAGAGATTATCGCAGGCGTGGTGGCCGGTATCCTAATCGTGGACACACTACACATATTACAAAAATATATCATCATTACATAGTACCAGGAACAAATCGCCATGAGGATGGATCTGAATGCACACATGATGAACATCATAAGCACACACACAATGCACAACACGGATCTCATACCGTTACAAGTTCAGGAACAAACCAATACGAGTACCACCATCATTTGAAGCCAGGAACAAATTTACATGAAGATGGTACAGAATGCAATCACGATGAAAGTACAAAATATGATGATACTGAAGATCGACAATATGCAGAAACAAATTATCATCATGTAAAACCTGGCACAAATGTTCATGCAGATGGTACTGAGTGCAACCATAGTGAAGATGAGAAACATAAACTGAATGAAGATGATTATGCGGAAAATGAAGAAAGTACAATATATGATGTTGATGTAGAAACCACAACAGAACTACCAGACTACACAAAATTAGAAACACTAGGACATGTTCTGGAAACAACAAGCGAAAGACTCAACAGAAATCAACAACAACAGCAACAAATAACAGATGGAATAATTGATTCTCGTAATGATCAGCTCATAGAATTTATCAATAGAAAACGCAATGAAACCAGAACAACTTCAACAACGTTACAAGAGTCCAGGAGTTTCAGTTCACAACATACAGAACGCAGAAGTGAGTCATTCAATGCGGCGTACACCTCAGCCTCATCGCAACAAAACTCAAGAGAGTATAGCAATGAGAGGATGATTGCTTCAAATTCTTCAACAACACATCATACATCATCTCAAGAAAGATTAAGAAGCAGATATACTGACAATGACGCATATAGAAGAGGTGATCAGACGGTAAGAGATGATGATGAGGACGATCAAGGCCAAGTTACTCAACAGTTAGTCGATCCTAATTTTGATGTAGGACAAACACAACAGCAATCTAGCGCAAACAGAGAACAAATTTACACATCAAACTCATATGGAAGTAGAACATCAAATTTAAATGTTATGCATGGCAGTCAACAAATAGAGCAATTCCAAACAGAAAATCTCGAGGATTTGGGGCAACAACAAGTTGTTCAACCAGTTTTCGCACAAACCAGTATTCATAATACTCAATCAGGCGGAAGAAATGATAATGAGGACGATCAAGGCCAAGTTACTCAACAGTTAGTCGATCCTAATTTTGATGTAGGACGAACACAACAGCAATCTAGCGTAAACAGAGAACAAATTTACACATCAAACTCATATGGAAGTAGAACATCAAATTCAAATGTTATGCATGGCAATCAACAAATAGAGCAATTCCAAACTGAAAATCTTGAAGATTTGGGGCAACAGCAAGTTGTTGAACCAGTTTTTGCACAAACCAGTATTCATAATACTCAAGTAAATGAAAATACACAGAGGGTAGAATCCGTTCGACACGACATACAAGTTACGAATCATCATGCGACTGTTCACGAGGACAATGTTCCTGCCCAGGTCAGAGCAGATCCTTATGTGCCTGTTTATGTAGAAGAGGTAAATTCTTAATACAATAATTTATATAGTCACCTTTGGTAGAAAATATGTTTAATAAACTTTTAATTTACTTATAGGTTATCACAACAACTACTGCTAAACCTGCATGGTGGAAACGAATAGGAAATAAAGTAACAAGTTACTTCAAAAAATCTTAGATTTTAATGTGATATTTAGAAAATAAGAAAAGACGTTGGCAAAATCAGCATGTATTAGAATTAAGTGTATTTTATAAGAATATGAATCCATCCAAAGACTGATTTTATTGGATTGATGGTCATTATTAGTATATAAATCATTTATAATGTCGAAACAAAGTTATAATATATATTTTAGTAAGACTTAGGTTAATGTTGTAATAATATTTTATTATTTAGAATTATACTTTTGTATTTTTTTAAATTAATAAATAATAAATAATAATCAATAATTAATAATCTTAATCTTGTTTTCAGGCAAACGTTAAAAAAAAATTAACAATATACATAAGTACTTGGACTTTTTAGCTTTATTACAGGCGCGACAATTACTTGCTGATTAGTGTTTTTCAACAATTTTTATTATTAGTTACAAAATTTTTAGCTTTCCGTATGGTAACTTAACGTAATTGCTAAAAAACGAAAATAAAATCTTTTGCATATCTTTACGTTTCCAGATCTTCTGAACAAAAATCAAATTTTTTCAAAGCAAAATTTTTTCGAAAATGTTAGTTTTTTAAAAAAAATAAATTTTTGGTACGGGAAGTTGCAGTAATTTGCCTTAAGGCACGATGCCATGCTTCACTAGTTTCAACTCATTTAAGTATTTTTTGAACGTAGGTTTTGAATACCTCTATAATGATTGTCTTGAATTGAAAAACAATACCACAAAAAACAAACTGGTCTAATAAAAGCGTGAGAACGAATTTCTATTCAATAATATTGAATAAAATATTTAAAAATATTATGAATGCTTGTTACCCACGATTGCTAAAGAAATTGTTGTTCTGCTGAAATTACTAAACGATTATAATCGTCTATCGCATATAATGGACTATGTTTATAGATATTGGATTTGAACTCACACAAAATCAAGAATGCGTCAACAATGGTTTTATTGTAAACTATTCGTTGATATCAATGCGCAGTTTTCGTTGCTTTGTGACAGTTATTGTACGATCGCAGAAGAACGATTATCAAAAAAGTTTTAGTTCATTAAATTTAATTAGTTGTAGTACTAATTTGCTGATTAGTACACGGTATTTATGAAAAAAAAAAATAGAAGTGCTAAAATAATAATTTGATTTGCAAAAAAGTGACATCAGGGAAACTGTAAGTGAGTATTTTCACCTTTTTATTAATTTCGAAAAATTAAGGCGACTAAAGAAAAAAATGCTAAGTGATCTGCCACAACCAACAACATAATTTCCTCTATTATGAAGAGATTAATATATAAGTTCTCTAACAAAAAATAACATCTAGAAAATAATTAAATTTTAAACATTTCTAATATACAAATTGTGAAAATTATCTAACTTACATAATTAAAAATTATTAGAAAAAATTCTCTTTAGAAAAAAAAAGGATTTGACAAACGAAGGATGTTTATATTTGGGGATAGTTTGTTTACGATTAATATTGCAAAAAATGATTTTAACGTAAAGTTTTAATTCTAAATGTTCATCTAAATGAAGGATTTTCTTTTCAAAGAAAATTATATATCGTTTTTAAATGATCAGTTTCGATTTTTGAAAGCACGAATAACATTAATATACATAAGTTTTATTTTAATTAGTAAATTAAATTTAAGGACATGTTATCTTCAAGATAATAATTTGAATCACATAATTAAAAATAGAATTTAACACAGAACATACATTTATTCTTTTGTGTATAGTACTAAAAACATCTACTAATGAAAATGTTCACTAAATTATTTAGTGATTCCTATTCAATCATATTATTTATCTAACATAAAATAATATCTAGAAAATAGTTAAATTTTAGACATTTCATACATTTATTCTCATGTATATAGTATTCATTTCATGTATATGTTCATTTTTTACCGGTACTTATGCATTTATATTATTTTTCTCACAAAAAGTAACATCTTTTAATTAAATTTCAAACATTTCTGATGCACATAAATTGTGAATATTATCTAAATTAATTAAGAATAATTAAAAAAATCTCTAATGTTTATTCTTAATATGCGACTAATTAAAAAAATCAGTAAAAATTGTTTTATATATTCCTCAAAATAAATATTTTTTTCATAATTCACCTTAACTGAAGTGCTTTTCCATAGATCTCCTTCATTTAATTTCACTATTGTGATTTGAAAGGCTTTTATTAATATTTTGATTTAATTTGATTTTGCTAATTAGACGGATTTAATTAAAAATCAATATTGAACAATTCAATAATAATTTTATGAGAAATTGAATTTTTTTATACATTTTTCTGTTTTTGTTTCCTAAATTGTAGCTAATTCGCTCCAATAACCATTCATATTTTTGCAATTGTTTATATAAATAATTTCGTATAGCTTTTGCAATTTCAAAGCATTTATTTATCTTGATAATGAAAATTTCAACTAACATATTCAAAGTTTTGAACATGTAATAAAAATAATGTGCACTTATGATTTTTTTCCTACAAATCAATAAAATTGTTATTAATTACATAAAAACGTGAAATTGCAAGTTCTAGTTATGTAATGTAATGTAAGCAAAGTATTATTACGTTAAAACATTTTGAGCGCTTTTTTGATTAATCAATTATATTTTATAGAAAATAAAAATATAACTTTTTGCGATTATTGCCAATAATATTATTTTTTTTTTTGCAGAACATGATTTATTCATTGATTCTATTACTATGCGTTGCACTAAGTGGAATTAACGCAATCCCGATAGAATATGCTGATCCTACTGTCGAAAAAGAAGACACGACCTTAAAAGACTTTAATCGAGAAATGGATGAGAACATTGAAATGCTCAATGAAATCCAAGAAAAGGTCAACTTATTATCCAGCAGAATGCAAAAATACAGACTCATCCACGCAAACGTACAGGAAAACGAGATCTCTACCGATGACATAATTTCATCAGATTGCTCAGGCGGATGTGACAAACCAGATAACAGTAGTGTAACCAACATCACATTGACAATAAAGTTTGGAGGTTTTGCCAGTTCAGATGATGATACAAACAGTTACCCACTACTAGGAGCACCATTGGATGGAAACACAAACTTCATCACCGAAGACGATGATTTGGTAACAGGTGATCAGACTCTACACTACCCAGCAGAGATGCCTCCAGAAGTATATAATTCTAACCCCAAAAACGATGTTGAAATCTTTGATCCTAAGGATTCTGTAGACCAGTGGCCAGTAGATTCATTCCGCGACCGTGACACAAACCGACATTGGATAATTGCAGCTTCTGATATTGATCATGATTCAGGGTTAGTAGATACTAATATATTCACGAGCCGAGATATGGATTATCCGGAGATCAGGATTTATCAAGATTCAATGGGAAATATTGATGAAGAAGCAATTCGCATGCATCAAGAAAGACACAGACAAAATTTTGCTGATTTGTTCCGTTCTATATTCGAGTAACTCATGTTGTAACTTTGCTAAGCATGCACAACACATAAATTTAGGTACTTTTAAAGTCAAAGTATTATTAATAGTAAGATCTGAAAAATGTATTCGTGAATAAATAAAAATATATAATTGGATTTTTATTATGTTGTAATTCACAAAATATTGTGTTATATTTTAGATTCACAGTAATTAATTTGGTATTCTATTACAATTCTGAAGTATGTTATATAAACAAATAGTAACAAAATATAATTCTATTTTACTGCTGGTAATATGAATAACCAGGGTGGTATTCATCATCTTGGTTATCGCAGTTATTGGGATTATAATTCTGATAAATAGTAGTTCTAGGTTGATAAGCTGGAGGTGATTTGAAATTCTTCTTTTTGGATTGCGCTTTTGGTCTGTGTTGTACAATTTTTTTTACAGGTATATTTGAGGAAGTAGCTGACGACATACAAGACCTCGGCATTTCAAACTGACTCAAATTATTATTCAAATCCGATCTTGTTCTGTGAACTTCGAGTTTGGTAGATTTTCGAGCAATTCCTGATCCTATGGTCATGCAGTCTTGGAACCTTTCAACGTGTTTTGATAAAGCAATGCTTTCATGAACAAAATGACGTGGGTTTATCTCTTCGGTGGAATTACAACTTAAATGTTCGTCATCTGACATATCGCAGTATGAGTCGTCGATATTTTGTTTTGCAATATTGTAATTCGTACGTCTTGCAAAATATTTTTGATTTTCACGCACTTTCTCGGCGTGGTTTTCACGAGTTTGGTAGTGTCTGGTATTAGAATCGAAAGAAGAGATCTGCCCACGTTTTGACTCAGTAACTGTGAAAGTATTATCGTTTTGAACTTGTTTTTTCACAGTGGTTCTAGATATTATTTGTGGAGGATTTGCACCAGAATTAGTTGAGCGTCCTCTATTTCTATTATAGCTTTGATCTCTATCTCTAGAAACTTGTTTTCGCTTCTTTTTGATAGGCGCTATTTTGCATAGATTCTCTACTTCATTTTGGTACATATAATTTTTCTTTGCTCTTTGAGCAATATGTAACAGCAGTTGACATTGATTTAACCTGCGATCTTTCAGTAATAATACTTCTAGATTCGCCGTCCGAATCAGATGATTCGTATGGATTGTAGTACAAACTGCACACATCAGCATTGTTTGAAATAGATTTTTGACCCTCAGATTGGGGTACATCAATAATATTTAAATTTGAGTAACTATTTTTCAAACTTCTAGAGCTACATTTGCAACTACAACTCGCGGATTCCTGACTGCTTCTGGTTATAAGAGAATTTTGGGGCGTTATTTCTGATTTGCAGTCTGATTTATCAATATTGTAACTCTTGTACGGATCAAATAATTCGCAAACGGATTTGTCTCTAGACGACTTGAAGAATGAAACACGACTTTGAACACATGATTGCTTGCTTTGGGTATTTAATTTAAGATCTAAGAGTTTGATATTTGTATTAACATCAGATTCTGACTTAGTGCGTTCAAGTTTGCCAAATTTACATTTTGGAGCATCTTGAGTGTTTTTATCTGGAGCTACTTCTTGATCATGCATCAAATGCAAATCATTTTTTAATGCTGGAGAAGGGTTTTTAGTAGACAAAAGTATGGTAGGTTCGCCAGCACATGACAGATTCTCTTTAATAATTCCCGTTTTGATAATTGATGACGATGAAGATCTATGTCCTTCTGAATTAATCATAGAAATACGTAAATTTTTCAAACATTGTGTTCTGGAATCTGCGTTATCAGGAACCTTGGCAATGCCATTTGATACGCAACTTCCTAAAACGCAATTATGATGTTCATCTGGATTTGTATTTTCTGTTATTTGAATGCTTTGAACAACCAGGCGATCGGATAAAGGAATACCACCTTGTCCACAAGCACAATTACAAGTATCAGACCTTGCAGAAATACCTACATAGGAAGTAGATTCTAATATTTATTAAAGTAAACGCTATAGACCAGTAAAATTTTCACTAAATAATTTAAAAATATTTAACTGCTTTTAAATCAATCTTTTAATTACCTGAATTAATTTTTTCAATATAAAAGTGTAGAAGTGCAAGTTGAAGGATCTGGTTTCACTGTACATTGAATATCATCATCGGTTTGAATCGTTATCGTTAAAGCATTAAGGAAATTTTCATAGTCTTCATAATTACTTTTAAAAATATACTACTTTAAATTTACATTGATTTATTAGAAAAGTATCATATGGTATCACTTATTAATTTGGAAAAAAACAATTTTATTGTTTCTGATTAAATCATGACGTACTGTTCGTAAAACAAAATGTAGAGAAAATTATCAGAGCAACCTATAACAATAATTTGTTTTTATCTTTAAATCTAATTGTCATATAAAACATATTTTTTGCTTAAGTATTTTGTGTTTATTGTATTTTTGACTATTCATTTTCATTTTGCATGTGTATATTTATTACATTTGTTGTAAAATTTGAGAAAAATCGATATCTGTACAGAGATATGTCATAATACAAATTCACAATATGAACAAGGTGTAAGTGGCATTTTGCAATAAGGCAAGTTGCATAAACTTCTCTATACAAGTTTAATAGCCGACTTTATAGATAAGAAAAAGGTCGACTTAATTAAAAATAACTGAGAATTGCTTACATTAAGAGCCGATTCTGCAGTAAAATAGGCTAATATTGGCTATGTAGTAGTTTTCATACAAATTAGTACTAAATACTGTCAAATGACATGTGGTTTTTGTGCAATTACGCGTTTTAGCTAGAGTTATTATTACTCATAATAACATATGAGTAAAGTTGTATTTCAGGTTTGAAACGCATGATAGAACACCAAATACATGACATTATTTAGTACCATTTTAGATGAAAACTGCTACATAACATAGCCTTGCATAATATTCCTCAATTTTTTCCTTAATTTAAAATTTATTATCCTCAGAATGAAAATTCAAATGGAATATCTAAAACATCGTTTAAGACGCAATAGTGAGATTTATTCAGGCGACTATTATTGTTAGTCGTCGATTGCATTCGATGAATAATTCAAGTGGAAATACTTCCCTTAAGTGGCCATTAACATAAGTCATTATGCATTCAATACAATAACGATGCTCGTTTACGAGGAGCAAAATATATACTTATTCCTTATTGCGAACATTGCATTTTTGCCACAGCCGAGGAAAAAATTTTATAATAATGTGGTGGAAAATATTAAAAACTTTTATGCCATCAGTTTTTTATACTTTTTGTACAGTGCAATTTATTTAACAATAATTTCAATAACTGATTCTACTGTCAATTTGGTTAATTAACCAAAACACACCAAATGTACATGCAATTCTTCAAAACCTGCATACATTTTTATTTTATTTTTTTAGTGAATAAAACATGCAACAATTTATAAGAGTAATTCATTTCGTTCTGTTTCATGTTGTTCGAAACGGCGCCATTAATTCTGCTCCTTGGCGTTTCCTTCACAATCAGTATGACATATTGTTAGTGCTAACCTGACAAAAATGATTTTCTTCCCGACACTTGAAAAGTTCTGAGTTTGTGAGTAATAGAGCAATTTTACTTTAATATATCATTACCTCTGATGTACAACATCAGACATCCGATGTCCTTGTTTATTTTGACCTACTTGTTTTATTTCGTTCGGGAATGATATTCGATATTTACGGAATATATTTGAAAACGATATAATTTATTGGAACGTCGAAGATATTTTAAAACATGAATAGAGTTTTCATTCAGAGTTGAACGAAATGTTCTTTGTATTGCAGCTACGTATGCAGAAAATTTTAATATATGGTAATAAAAGATTCAGTTGACATCAATAGTTATTCAAATATTTACTCGTTCAATCGTCTCATTAAAAAAAAAAAAATAGAATTTTTTTTTTTTT